CTCTGTATTTCTCAGCATTTCTCACACTGAGTCCTTCCCGGAGTCCTGGCTGCTGGAATCAGGAGATCTCCAAGAGCCCCAGCACTCAGACAAAACCAAAGGCTCCAGGAATGAGTATCCATGTGCTGTTCCCTGTTCCCAAAGTGTCTGTTGGACACTTTCTTACCAGTTAACAGCAGTTTTCCACCCTTCTCTTTGAAGGGCTGGCAACTTCCAGTTACTTCACATTTACTATGAAGAAACAGGATTTTCATAGATTCTTCCTTAACTACACTCTGGTAACCACTAGGAACTAATATTTGCAATTACAGGGAAAAACCACAAAGCAACCATCCCTTAACCATTCCAAAACAGGAAGGCAAGCACAAAAAAGATGTATTAAAATTTTATTAAAAACTACTGTTTTCAGTCACCTCGTTTCTTGAGGTTTTGCCCTTCTTAAATTTGGCAATACTTGCACTGCCTTATACCAAATGTAGCCAATAACTGTACATCAAGTTTTCAGTAGCTCTCTACTCTATAGATCACCCCTCTGTACCTCCTCTGGTTACTTATTCAGGCTTTACCTGCTGTCCCTTTATCAACCCACATATTCTTCCACATGTGTTCTTCCTCCACCTCCCATTTTCCCTGCCCTTTGAGCAAATTCTCTCCCAGCACTTTGAATTCATGTGGACAAAATGCTCCAAGGCAAACTGCTGTTGGCAAGGGCATCCCTTGGGACCCGCTGCAGCTCTGGCAGCGAGCTCAGCTCTGCACGTACGTGAGTGTCTGCACACCCTCCCAAAACACCTCCTCACAGCCCAGCATGGCTCTGCCTCCAGGCCTTTCCTTACTCCTGGGATGGAGCTGAGGTGCAGATGATGGAGAACTCGGTGCTTGGAAAGCTGCCACATCCCGCCAGGCCCCGGGTGCACATCCAGAAACCTGCACAAACACTTTATCCCAGGGAACAAGTTTCCCATTCTGCTTATTCACAGTGATCCATAGGGATCCTGTCTGTGTGTGCTGTCGGGCATGAAAGCTGCATGTTCCAACTCCAACCCCTTCCTAGAACAGATAAATACACCAGTGTCTGCTGCTTTTCCACCAGGGAAGGCTGCACTATCCATCACTTCCAGAGGTGCACAGAGCAAGGCTGGTGCTGCTCAGGGATGCTGGAATAGGGAATCACACATCACAAAAAAGCAGATTTCTACATAGCTTAAAAACCCCTCAAACAAACCAGTCATTTGCTTTTTTTGTGCCCTAAGAAGGCAGAGATCTCAAATTGCTAATTCTTTTCATAAGTAGTCAGATCTTTAAAGTCATTGAGGCACTGGGAAGCTGAAATAGGGAACTCTAAGGTTTTACCCTATGTCCAACCCAGAGCACCAAATATCCTTAGCTCACTCCCTCCTTCGTGGTCCATGAGGAAGAATGTTTGCTGCTGATGTTGGTGTCCCAAAAGAAAGGGATATTTTTCATTTGGAAAACACAAAATGTAGGAAAAAGCCTCCCTTTACAAACTCCAGTGCAGCTCTCCCTGCCAACATCCCGGTCTCCGCTGGGCTTCCCTCGGGCTGCCCAAGTGACAGGACCAAGATGAAGCAACAGGGATGAAACCCCAGCACGGAGACACATCCCAGTGTCGGGGAAGGGAACGCCGCTCCCCTCCCAAACCTCACCACCTGCACGCTGTGCACTGGTTTGCGTTTCAGCTGGAAAACCCCCCGACGGCCCGAAGGAAGAAGGAATATGAGGTAAGTGGTGTTTGCCTCCTCCCCGGCCGCAAGGTGGGGAAGGCTGCCGGGGGGTTTCTCCTGCCTGCACCGTGAGCTGTGCCCACGGCAGCCTCGTCAGCTCATCTGTCACTCACCGAGTTACTTCCATGCCGCGGACACGCAAAGCGCCAGCGATTTCCGGGATCCCGGCTCCCGGCTCCTTACCCCGTTGGCGGCGGCGATGCGGACGATGAGCTGGATGGCGTCCCTCATGTAGAAGCGGCCGTCGCCCCCCACCACGAGCGTGGCTTCCTGGCGCTCCGCGGGCGGCACCGTGGCCAGGATGCTCTGGATGAAGTTCTCGGTGTAGTGGGCATTGCTCTGGAACACCGTGACCCGCTTGCGCAGCCCGCTGGTGCCCGGCTTCTGGTCGCCGTAGGGCTTGGTCTTCACGGTCTCGATCCGCACCATGGCCGGCGCCGGGAGAGTTCCGGGAGCCGGGGGGGCACCGGGCCGGACCGGCCCCGCCGCCAGCACCGCCCCGAGACCGCCCCTTAAAGGCACCACCCGCGCGGCCGCCTGGGCACCCAGCGGAGAGAAGACACAGCATCCTGCCCTGCCCTGCCGTGTCCTGCCCTGCTCCCAGATGCCGCGCTGCCGAGCTCTGGGTGTGCAGAGAGAGCACTGAGCATCCCTGTCCTGCCACAGCACTGAGCACCTCCGTGGGTGGGTGCTCTGCTTGGGCCAGGTGTCATGAATCGTGGAATGCTTTAGGTTGGAAAAGATCTCTAAGGTGATGGAGTTCAACTGTTCCCCCAGCACTGCCAAGGCCACCACTAACCCATGTCCCCAAGTGCCACATCCACAGGGGTTTTAAATCCCTCCAGGGATGGGCATTCCACCACGGCCCCAAGGCAGCCCCTTCCAAAGCCTGATCACCCTTTCCGTGAAGAAATTCTTCCCGATGTCTCACCTAAACCACCACAACTTGAGATCATTTCCTCTTGTCCTGTCCCTTGTTCCCTTAGAGCAGAGCCCGACCCTCACCTGGCTCCACCCTCCTCTCAGGGAGTTGCAGAGACCCAGAAGGTCCCCCCTGAGCCTCCTTTTCTCCAGCCTGAGCCCCCCCCAGCTCCCTCAGCTGCTCCTGGTGCTCCAGAGCCTCCATGTCCCTACAGCCACCAGCAGGACGTCACCACCAGCCCTACAGGCAGGGCCTGGTCTCAAGTGACCACCCCACGCAACCAGGACCCCCCTAAATACCCCCAGAAGGTTGGTCAGGGAAGGTCAGTGCTAGCAAACCCACGAAGAAGCTGAACTTTGTTATTATAGCACCAGTTCTCAAAAGTAAGGTAATTCCAGAAATTAAAATTACAGGTGTTACAGACACTTTTTCTCTCAAATGTCTCCCCTTGAAGAAAATAAGCTGGTACCTATGTTCAGCCTTGAAAAGAGAAGCTGGAATGTTTTTCTGTCTTGGTGGCACCTGGACTTGAAGCAAACTGGAAAATAATCTGCAGATGCTGAGATCTCTATTCTCATCTCCTCCAGGGCGGGAAAGGTAGAGCCTGCCATGGAGAGCTTGCTCATGTTCTCCCTTTGAAATCTGGGTCATTAAACCCTTCCTAGCAGCAAGAGGATCAGAACATAAATAAGGTTCCCCTGTTGCTGTGCCATGTTTTTTACCTGCAGCAAAACCAAGTCTTTCCTGTGCAGTGATTTCTCCACTAAGCTCTTCCTTCAGCCTTAACCATTCCTTTCCTAAAATGCAGAGAGAGCTGCATATGAATTCCTACCACATCTAAAAAGACTGATTTGACAAACAAGAGAAATGCAAATAATGGGCTGCTCACTTTCTAGTGTCTGTTCTACAGAGAATGTATCATTATTTCCTAACTCCTCCTTAGACACGTAGCTGGGAACTTCTGATTTACCCACACTTCGCCTGAGGCAGCATTTCAAGAGCTCAGGCAGAGCTAGAAATCACCAAATATTTGTGTGGCCTCAACTTCTACTTCTTTTAGACAGTTCTGAAAATGAAACCCACATCTACTGTACTCGCTATGGGGAAAAAATGGAAAACTAAAGGATTACCAGGAAACCTGCCCTAGCACCAAGTGTGTAAATCAGAGCCCAGCTCTCCTTTTGGCACTGACATTTACTTGCCCAGTGTAAGATTACAGCAGAGGAACAGCAGAGTGCAGGAGTTATGGCAGATAAAAATAGCTTTGCAACACTCCTCGCCGCCCTTACACATGAGGTCACGTACATTTAGTGGCTATTTTAAACTCAGACACTTTTTAAGCATCCAGTGGGCAGGGTCATCCTTTTTTTTCCCCCACATTAACATTCATTTAGAGGAACCAGAAAAGTAAGATGAATATTTTTAGTACCTCAAAGCTGGTTTTCTTTCCTGTTGCAGCCTAAACTTGGTGCACTTCAGTCTCCTTATTTCAGCTACCCTGGAAATAATTAATTGTTGTTAACAGTCAAGAGCCCAAGACAAACCTTCATTTTCCTCAAATGATAATATTTCTTTACTACATACAAAAAGGCAGACTTTATTTTACATAAAAGAGTATAAAATTAGGCAGTCATTACAGAAAAAGCGCAAGATGAGTATTATCAATGAGGGGAAAAAAGGAGAAAAAAGGCAAAATAAAATCTTGAGCCTCATCCCTTTATCCTTCTCACACCAAAACCACATCAGTGTTTAATTAGGAACCCACCAGACTCATTCACCAAAGTAAGTTTTTCCTCACTGAAGCAGTTCCAGCCTGTGATGGAACTACAGTACATGTTATAGAAAACTAGAGCATATTTAGGGAAACTAGCCTTTATAAAACACTATTATATTACAGCTGTCAGTTGTACTTCTACTGAACAGCACTAATTTTTATTGTGCCTCAGTGTTTTCATACCAATAATTTATTCTGTCAAAGGATTTTACAACTTACACTTATTCCATCCTAATCTATCACTGCACGTGTTTCTTCACAGCCTTTAGCAGAAATAAGTGATATCAGAAATATGTGATTCATTGGCTTTAACAAATCAAACTCTGCAAAGCCCAAATGTATGGCAGCTTTTTGAGAAGGACAAGATTATAAATTGTCTGGAAGCTGCCAAAACCCACTCCTGGTTTGGTGTGAATGTTCCCAACTCTGTAACCAGAGGTTTAATGTACAAGGGAGTGCACACAGTTATAAATCCACTCCTCCTGCTCGTTGAGGGGCACCACGTGCTGACAGACCTGGACAGGAGAGAGAAAACAGAGGTGAAACAGCTGGGTTTGGAGAACTGTCACCTCACGTGCTGTGTAAGCAAAATGAACTGTTTCAGTACTTGCACCACTAAATGATGAGCATTCCTCATCCATATTGACGGCTGACAGGCAAAAATCACCACGGAATTTAATTACACGACAGCAAAACATTCACAGGGGCACTGAACCCAGTACTGAATGAAGCCTAAATTACAACTAAAAAACACCTTACAGGACCAACCTATGGATATCTAAAGTGTCAGCAGCAGTATTAGAATAGGCCCCAGCCCTGCCTGTGTCACGGGACTGTGCTGTTTACAATGGGTTTGAATCCACACGGGAAAGCTGGGAAATATAAAATAGCTTGGAAGCCTCTTCTTTTAAACAAAGGGACTGTACTTTTAGAATAATAAAACCAGGATTTTATTCATAAATAAATGAAGAAAAACACCATCTGCATTTGTAAAGCATTTTCACATTCTATCCCTTAGAACTCTCATTTAGAATTTTCACTACAGCCTGCCCAGCTCTGCAACAAGGATCAGGAGATCAAAATGCCTCGTGGCTAAACATCCTTAAGCCAAGTTTAACAGAAGCAGCTGTCTGCAAATCACATTGTTCAGAAGGACTGAGATGCATTTATTGCTCTTTCTGGTTAGTGCATGCTTGGTCTGTCCCTCACAGGTATCAGTGTATCTGATTAAAATTTGCTAAAGTGAAAAATAAAAAGAAAATACAGCCTTAGAAAAGGATTATTAAAACTATTAGTAAAAGGTACATGTATTGGATGGAAAACTGAGACAGGCCCAAGTATGAAAAACTGAACTGTTATGGACTTTTATAATAAAACATCAAGAACAACATCTGATCTGTACTGGTCACCAAGATGCCACTCTCCACACGCTCCTTCTCATGATAAAAGATCTACAAAAGGAAACTATAAAGATGCCATATGATTTTCTTATTGCTTAGATTTTAAGTTGGCTGAGCAATAAAAATTATAAAAACCCCTTACCATCATGGATTTTGGTGCCACCTCTACAGCAAAAACTGTAAGACCCCTGTTATTTAGGCAGTTCTTACTCTGCTCATTGTTGACATGAATAATCACTTTGTTTTCAGACTGTAAGTAAAAAAATATGAAGGAACCCATTAGTTTTCTGGATAACTGTCTGTTCTTCCTGCAAGGACTACACATCCCTCTGGCCTCCTCTGACTTTGCTATTTTACAGGACAGAAATGCTTTAAGGATACTTTTTGAAGAGTAACAGTTTCAAATGCACCTTTGCACCAACAGAGCCCAGATCTACTGTCAGAAATTGAAGACTCACTGAAATACCAGAGAGCATCCAGCTGTCTGAGTGCAGACCTCACCTCCTTCTCTGACATATTCCCAAACATATAAATAACTCTGGAACATCCACCCTAAAGGGCACATCTAAACCCAGAGTTCAAGGAGCCTAATATTAGTCCTCTAAGCCATTCCCTTTTGCATGTCTCTCTCCTTTTAAAAATATACTTCTTGCTGTGATCTTTTCAGATTTAAAGCATCTTAAGTTCAGCATCTTACTGAGCTGTGTTTATTTACTCACAGTTCCTGATACAAATGAGACTGAGAAGGAACAGCAGGTTCATTATGTTCTATGCAGAAAGGTTTAAAATCTCTGCTTCTCACCAACCACTTCTGCTTGCATTTACAATTCTTAGCTTGGATTAGTAATAATCCTGTCAGACTAACCAGTTAATAATTCATCCATAACACAATCAATGCAAATCACTGCTCTTTGACTTTCTTGTGGACACTGAAAATGCTAAATAGTGTAAATGCTGTATTCTTTGACCTTTCTGTAATTTTATTTCCTGCTCTTAGTGTTTGTTTTCTCATATTATGATGATATTGTGTATCCAATTATTATCAAAATACTGAAAAAACTGGAATGTGAACAACAAAAATATTCAGATTCTATATGATATTTAGAACTGGCTGCCTCATTATAATAAACTGTCCCTTCTGACACTGATGTTTAGAAGTCTGAGCCATATGTCAAAAGGAGCACATCAGGCACTGGGGTGTTTTTTTTATGAAACAGATACAAAAATGTGATATCAGAAAACTTAATTCTCAAATATGACAAACAGGAGGGAGGAAGAACTGTAATAATAGACATTCCCACAAAGTACCCCACAGAGGTCTCATGCCATACCTTATTTTCAATAACAGAAGTGATTCTCCTGCCTGATTTGTAGGTGTGGACCACGATGTTCTCGGAGCCATCCAGTACTTTGGGCTCTCCTTTATTCACCACAGCCCTGCAAACAGCCCTGCTGAGCTGGGAGCCCCCTGCCTCCAGACACATGGCTTTGATTCGGGGTTTGCATCTCTCTGCATAGACGTCAATGACAAAGGGACAGGCCTGCAATGGAAAATCTGGGGTTTATCATCACCTGAGCTGTAGTTTTTTCCCCTCAGATTTCCATCCACAGCTCCTCAGTATTTTCATATCTGCTCTGAAGTAGAATTACCCAAATACACATATGTCCCTGAATATCAAATATGCCAAACCTGAGAGCCGTGGCAATATTTTAGAGGACAAATGACCTTTTTCATGCCAGCCACAGCACACTCAATATCTGGTTTGGTGCGTTCAGCTCCAACACAGGAAACCCTTCCTCGGACAGAAAAATGCACGGGAATCAGGATGAAGTACAAATGTATTCCAGTGTCTGAAATAACCCTGACTCCTTTCCCTGTCACACTGTTGCTATTTGTGCCACTTCCCACAGATTTAACACACCTGCCCTGTTGCATCAAGCCATGTTACTCCTGGTGTAACAAGCAGGAGTTTGCATTTTTTCAGATACAGTAACAGCACCTCAGTTCCTTTCAAACGCCTGCTGGAATCCACCAGGATTTCTCAAGTTCTGCCTTTAATTTGTCAGAGGCTCAATGCTCCCAAAACACCACTCTTGAATTGTTTGAAATCAAGGAATTAAAGTGTTAAGTGATAGACACAAGTTAACAGATGGAGATATTTAGATTAATGTTGTCCTTTGGAAAGCAAAGGCTGGAGCCATAAACCACAGCTGCTGTAAGGCACAAAACACCTGCCTGAAATTCCCAACTGGATAAAAACCTCCCAAAATCCTCTTTCTTGGAGGATCGCTCCCTCTCGCGGCTGAAATGCAGAAAAACAGCTTTGCAGGGGCTCTGCCGACCCCAACTTGGAGGAAAAGGAGAAACTGCTCATCGTGAAATCACTCACCAAGATGCCAAGATTTTCACTGAGAGCTGGTATCTCTCATACTGACTGTTTTGGGGGTCTGCATATATTTGTTTCACACAGATATTTTATACAGTGACTACACTAACCTGTTTTACTTTAATAAAGTTAAAGGACATTATCAGACTAAGATCCTAGAAGTCTTTTCTTGGGAACGAAACTTAAATATTTAATTATCTGTATATTTAATTTTTTTTTTAAGTTTTCATAAATTTTTTCCTCTTCATTAAAAAGATCCTCTTTCTTGAGTGAGAACTATTAACACCAAAATTATTTCTGTACAAATAAATTTAAAAAACGAAATAAAATAATAAAATAAAATATCTAAGTGTATATATACATTAGAAAAAAATCCCTGGGCCTGTAAGTAAGCAGTGTGTCACCCAAAGCCTCTTCATTAAAATTTTATGTTGAACACATTCAGACACTGTTGTGAAAGACAACAATAACAGAAATAGTCATGTCTGAAAATTAGGAATTCTGAATCATGTGGGAAAAAATGATGCATTTTTGTTGTGGTTTGGGCCAGGAAAGTGGCTTTTTTAAGGAGAGCAAATGTTGCATTTTCTAAGTTTGCTGAGAGGTCACAGTTTACCATCACTGTCTTATCAGATCTCACCAGCAAGGGCAATGAACTCTTTCAATGGGTATAATCCAAAATTTCTTCCTCTACAACCCACAAAATCCTGTCTTTCTCTAAAGCAAAAAGAAAACTTCCTCTTTCAGCAATCCAAGTGCTATCCTAGGAAACAGGGTAATGGATGTGACAGTGTAAATCCTGAATTCACCGTGTCTGGAGTGGGTCCCTGAGCTGCTGGAATCAGTTCATGGCAGACACAAACAGTGCTGCAGTTAAACATGAGCAGTTGGGTTTGCTTTATGTCCCTCATACCTCTGTCATTTCTAAGGCCTTGTTGTAGCCCAGGGACAACAGAGTGACCCAGAGGTCACTGGGATCCCCTTCCCGGTCCGTGGCTTCCATGAGATTCAGATCCAGGAATCCTTGTCTCGTGAGTTCATTCTTCTTCATCTCAAAATTCTCTGTTTAAAGGAAATAGAAAGTAGCCCTCAAAAGTCTGTTCTCTCTGCAAACACCCTTTATCCTTCCAAAGCCCAAGTTTAAAAGATGGAGCCATTTTGCAACCTCGGGCTCTCCAATATTATTTGGGAAGGACTGTCCTTGACCAGGCATGTGCTCTTTGCAGAGCTTCCCTGTGGATTTTGGATAATGCCTAGAAACAGCTGGTCCCTTGGATAACCCGAAAGAGGGTGAGATTTCAAAACACAAACAGTTCATATTGATTTTTTTTCTTTATGCTAAAACTTTGTGGTTGAGTTTTGCAGAAAGGGGTATTGCAGGAACGGGAAATGAAAGTCAGCTGGAACCAGCACCCTTAGTGCTTGAGGTCCTTGATATAGAAATGATTTACTTAGTTCCTAAAAAGCAATAAAATTCCAGTAATCCTAACACCCCTCTCTAGAGAGAATATCATAGATATCACTCTAATGTCAGCAAACACATAATGGAAATGTCCTTGTGTCAGAGAGTTTTAAAAATGGTTTTCTTATCTTCATAACAATGCTAAATCTTTACTATATATTATTAAAAAGGGATTACCAATTTAATAAATCTATCCAAGGGTACAGCTGCTGTAATAAACGGCTTGAACTTTGGTATCAAGATTTATGATATTTGTCGGAACCCTTTCAACTGATTAATGACCTGGTAAAACATTCACCAGATTCTCCTCTTTCCTCCCTTATTTATTGACACATATTTACCCCTCCTACTTGTGTGGAGATAAGTGCAGAGGCATCACCTGACAGAGTCCAAGTGTGGAAAAGTACAGGGATGAAACAGAGGAGAAAGTTAGAGAAAAGGATTTTATATGAGTTTTCCATCAATTAGGAAAAAATCCAATACCTTGGAGTGTTTTGGGGAGAAATTATTAGAAGGATTTGCCAGATCTAAAGTATCTCAGCCAGCATGTCACAGCCTACAAAGGAATTATGTCAAACATGACGTGGGCTGATACACAGTGAGACACTGGCAATCCACAGCAACTCTGGATGCCATTTTATAGCACCACAGACACTACTGAAATGAACCTCTCAACCCTTTGTGAGATAGGAAAGCAGCCCCAGCCTAATCTGCACAAAGGACAGGGAGTAAACAAATACCTGTTACAGTTTCATTCAGCACAGGATCCAGGATTAGAAAACCTGTAGTTTTTGGCAGCTACAAAACAATTAGGAATGGGAAGAACTTTCTCAGCAGAAGGTCAGTGGCACACACACCAGAATGAAGCAAAACAAAGGACAGGAGACTGGAAAAGGAAAAAAAAGAAAACAAAAGGAGAAGAGAACAACATCCACATGTGTTCTTGGAATAGGCTACAAAATACTCAGTTCTTCTATACTATACACGTACAACTCAGAAGTAGATTGATGGCCTTAATTAGTTTAACTAAGTACAGCAATGAACTTACCTTTACACACAGCCCATGCTTCCTCATCACACTTCTCTCCACTAGTTCTCAGTTCAAAGAAGTTGTATTCCTCCAGACTCAGGAGGCCATTTCCATCCAAATCTATTGTTTCAAATATATCCAATAAAGCAGCTCTGAAAGATTAAAAAAGGCAAAACTATTTCCAAAGGCTTCTGTTTGCTTCACTGGCTCATAATATTGTCAGGAACTGTTCAGTCCATTTGAGAATATCCTGTATAAAGAGTACTTTAGGAAGCTAAAAAGCTTTCAAAAAGCTGCATTTTAGCTGGAGCACACCCTCTTACAAAGTTTGGGAATTCCTGTTTGGGAATATGACTCACCTGAAGTCTTTGGTGAGGGCCAGCTCTCCATCTTCATCCCTATACACCAATTTTGCTTCTCCAGTAACTTGTGTTTTCCCCTTCCTCAGCCTGCAGCCTGTTGTGAAGGGGAGCAGCCAGTAATTCCCAGATCCAAGCTCCCCTTTCCAGCCAAACATCTGCTTTTGGAGGAACACAGGCAAGTTTGTCACTCACTTCTCAAATGATGCCTTTCCTTATTACCAGTATTATCCATACAAAAGTGATTAATCACTTGAAAACACTGGTAATGCTGGGTGCTTTCCTTAGAGATGCCATTTTAAAGATAAAAACACTTAGTGACTCTCTTACAATAAAATTTAAAGAAAATATACAGGACCAGAGATGAGGGGAGAAGGGAGAACTAAGTTAATGTTGCCATTTCTCCTCCCTTATTTCTGTCAGAGGATAAGAATATCCTGTGCTCTGTGAAGTTCAAAATTATATGTGGAAGGAGAAAGAAAATTGGAGGAAATTTTAACACATTTTGCCTCTGAAATTTTGGGTTTGAAGGTGCAGGAATAAAGTGAGTTTCTGAGAGTATCTGGAAATGTAACCAGCAACTCAGCAATACTTGCCAACATATCACACAATAACATGGTTCTCACAAGAATTCCATTAAACTTCCATACATGTGGAATTGAGGTTCTGTTACATCTTCCTTTGCACAAGTGCTGTCAGTTTTGAAAGGGAACATGCATGGAAAATGTGCTGCTTCTCTCTAATCTGACTCGCACAGCTTGAATTCCTTCCAATCACATGGGACTCACCCATATAATAATAACATACACACTAAATAACAAACAATCAGAACTGGAACACAACAATATCTGACCTCTTTGTTCTGTACTTCAGTAAAGCTCACAAGCTGTAGATTCTCTTGGGTTTCATTCTCCTTCAGAATAAATAAAGCTGTATCCACTGACAACCAGTGACAAGATCTTCCTAAAAAGAAAAATATCCCATGCATAAATGCTTAATGATAGCACAAAAGTGGTTTTCCTTGGACCTCAAAATAGATATATTCATGGTATTTATAATATTGATCCCTGTTGGTGTAAAATGGAAATTAAGAATTCATTATATGATATTGGGATTTCCTTCCTATTTAGGCCAATCAGAGAAATTGTTCCAAGCCTTGTGACTGTCTCACAGATAATTATTCCTATTAATAGTTCTATCATTAGGAAGTATTGATAGAATAGCTCTATCATTAAGAGTCAAGAATACCAAAGAGTGGTTACACACCACACAAATTTGTTCAAAATGTGAAGACATTTTTCTCCTAAAAAGGTCACTGCTCTGCTAACATGGATCCTTTCCTTACACAGCAGCATTGTGCCTTCCTCTCCACAAGAAAACACAGAGATATTCCCATACACAGGACAATAATATTGGGCAAAAGTAGAATGTTTTTATACAAAAGATGAGGGTTTTTTTGGTTACAGACAATGTCTGGACAATCCTGCAGCAGAACCGTCTAAGGTACAGGTACAAAGGGTGCCATAAAAAACCCCAAAGTTCTGAGCAGAGCACTGAGACATCCTCAAATCTGTTAAATTACTCCAATCTGTCAGATTCAGATCCCTTTTTCTCACTGAAGTCTGTTGATCAGCTTCCCATTTCAGCCAGGCAGTAACTGGAAAACGACTATTTTCCATCAATTATTTGCAGTGAAGTTTTTATTACCAACTTCAGTCAGAATCAATCACCAACCTGTAGCACAACAGATGAGTCTACACCAACTTCGGAATCTCATGGCTCCTGTTTTACAGGATTAGAAAAGAAATAATCTACTTGGAGAGAAAATAATTCCAGTGCAGCAACAAGACAAAGCCCATTAGTAAAGCACAAAGTGTTTGGGAAGCACTGACTAATCCCAGGTGGATCTAATGGTGGGTTTCACTCTTTTGAAGAGGAAAATGAAATAAAAATACACTCACCCTCTAGCTGGGGAACATTTAAAGGCTTGATGGTGACACAAACTGAGGACCTCTGAGGGAAGTGCACCCTGTACTTGTGACTGATGATTTCACCATCTTCTTCCAAGTAGAAGCAGCCTTTGGATTGTGCACGTTGCCATTCCTGGGAACCGAGCGAGTAGCAGATTTTATCTCTGATCAAGATAAAAGCACCTTCTCTGAAATATTGATTTTATTATTTAATAAATCCTGCACAAAATACACAAGATACAGCACTGATACCCTATTTTAAAAACAAGAATTATCTCAAATAGTCCTTTCTGTAGTCAATTTTTATTGCTTCACTTGTGGAAATGCCTCAAAAACAGATTCCCCCCATTCTCAAACAGATAAAATCAAATTTGAATTGCCAGTGAATTCACGAAATTCTCTGAACTGTGTGATTTACCACCAAAAGGCTGGAATTTTGCTACATCCCTCAGGCCAGCCAAGCAAGGAACACAACTGATCAGCTGAGCAAGGAGGGATTATTTGCTCAGACAAATCACAAACACAAGTACTGGTCAAATAATGTGAATTTTCTTGACTTCTGTCAAAGCTGTTGGAAAGGCAAACTGAAAAGTGCTGTGTTTGTGAATATTAATAATGTTTCTAGGGATACCATGATTTTGCTGAAACAGCCCTGTGCTTCAATTATTTACTTTTTCTGAACAGCAGCTCCCAATTTTCAATTTCAAATATCATTAGAATGATACTTCTTTGGCAAAAAAAAAAAAAAAAAAAAAAAAGATAAAATAAATACAGACACACTGTATGCCTTGAGGAATGGGAGACATCCTTGATTTGCCTTCCCTGGTTTGGATTAATGGGTGCTCAGGGACTCATGGATCTAAGAGCCTTAAGTTTTGCCCCTGAATATTGTGGAACAGGATGAGCTCCTCTATTCTAAACACTTGTCATTCAAACATTCATTTTACATAGCTGGAAACTATCTTAATCTCAAATTATTTATTGTTGTGTTCCTCCAAGATGTTGACCTAAAGGCAACAATTATTTCATCCTTAAAACATGACACAGCTGAGATAAGTGGGTGTTTGCTCATTTAGTCTCCCAGTTTAATATCTGACAGAACTGCTGGACAAAAAGTTGATCAAAGCTTTAGGAAATCAAATCTGAACTGTTATTCTTGCAGAGAGCATAAGGTGGTGCTAGGTCCCCTAAATTATCCATGTCAAATAACAAATAGGCAAATTTGGGAAGATAAAAGATGATTATCTGGTTTGATTTTACTATGTCACTTCAAAGCATAGCAGAAGTTGTCAAATAACAGCCAAAGTGGGAAATGTTTGTGTTAGAAATGTTGATTGTACAGAAATTTAGGCACCATCTGCTGCTGGTCACTGCTACTGCAATTTAAGTTACTACTGAAAATGTCCACACACCAGTGCAGAATTCCAAATAAAAACAGTGTTTGTGACAGGAATTGTTCCCGTGATTAAAGCAAAGAGCTCCATTTTTAGGACATGATCCCACTTTCTTTTTTTCCTGATGTCTTTCAATCTTGACTAAAACCAACCCCAAGAACACTCTGCAGAAATTTAACATCTCCCTCAGCCTTTTCAAGAATTGGGATTCAGCTGCAGTTGAAGCCCAACAGGACAACACGATGTCTGTGCACATCTGTAACTGGCTGGTTTTTTCTCCCAATATTTATTGATATGGCTTTGAACACACCCCAAAACTCCACTGAGAAAAAGAAAACACATGGAAGAATGCACTAGGAACACATTCCATGGTTTTTTAATTCAGACATTTACCGTATTTTGACTTCCAATGTTCTCCTCTATCAGAAATGTTACACTGGCTTTGGTCCAACTTCCTCATGGCAATATTTTCTTACTGCCCCAAAACCACAAGTGAACAGCAGAGAAAAATAAATACATATTTCTGAATAGAAGATGACTAAGAAGAATTTTTGGGTGCTACATTCTGATCCACACCACAAATGAATCCCTGGGTATTTATTCACTGATTCTGACAGAGTTTGCATTGTGCAAAACAGAGTTTATAAAAATTAACAGTTCTAGTTCTACCTTTTCATGTTTATTGATTGATTGCAGGGTTTGTATGATGCTAATCAATACTAACTGATATCTGCAGCTGCTTTGGTTTTTTCAGTCAGCTCTTACTGGCTTGGGCAAAGAAAGAAGAATCCAATCTCAGCTAAGTGTGTGCTGCTTTTATCCACCACATATCAGGTTTGAACAAGGTGAAATTGCAGGTTAAATTGCATGGAGGTCCAGATACCAAAACAGACTGCAAAAAATTCCTCTGAGATGATGTTTTTAAATTTTCATATAGAACAAATGTCACTGTATAGCAATGTGGAAGATATAAAGGACTTCAGAGTTCAATAACAAATCCAGAGTTGTTATTTGAAACAAAAATGTAGCTCCTGAGAACAATCAGTTCACTTTTCCAGCAGCAGTTACACTATGTGGTCATAACCATTTTTTCCCTTTTACACAGGAGTCTCAAGGTGCACATTTTTAATGTATCTGAGCAGTTTCCAGTTAATGCTTTATATTTCTGCAGCTATTATTTTCTGGTGAAAGAAAACTAGTAAAGGTTCAGTCAGGAAAGGGAAAACAAAGGAAAAAGATCAATATTAACACTCTACAAATATTGACTTAGCAAAGTGACTTTGTTGTCTCTCTCCCCCAGGAATTTATATTGAATGAGTGATTTATTCAAAAGAAAATACTGATAGAACATATTAGTTTAACTAAAAATCAATATTTTCAGGCTATAGCATATATTTAGAAAGTAATGCCCAACAAACTGAACATGCTCTCAGATCTGTTATTTATTTCCAATTACCTTTCATGTAAAGGTTTATGATACACAATCTTTCAGACTACTTAAGCATTTAAAGTTCTCACCAACCTAATACATTATTAAACTTTAAATTTCTCAAGAAGTCATTAAAACGTTTTCTCCAACAGTGGTTTCATTTATAAAAAAACACACTTGGTTCTATTAAACCTTCACACCTGAAAAATTATTTTCAATAACTAGATGTCAGCAAAACCAACAGTATATAAAAATGTTAATAATAACACATATCAAACTCTCAGTAGTTTATAGCTGCCCTTGACAAACTATTAATAAAACATAAAGAAGCCATTTTTCTCTGATTTTTAGCTTATTTAAAACGCAATAACATGTGTGCCTAGAGGAAAACAGCATAATTTCAGTGTGATACCTTCATTGTGTCGGGCTCAATTAGCTTTGTGCTCCTGTTGCAGCTGGAACCCACACTGACAGCGGGACAAGTGGAAGCTTTGCCACTTTGGGCTGATGAGGGCCTTGAAGGAGCTCTGCTGTCACCTACAAACACAGATATTTAGTTACAATTACATTATTTCAACCCCCTCCTAGTGCTATTTATCATGAACCTTGTGTTTGTAAGCACACGGACAAACCGGGTCCCTTCATCGCCGGTTGGTCAGAATGGGGTTTTGCCCAGAACAGAAGCAACTGCAACCAGCACAAATTCCATGCAACATTCCATACATTGCACCTCTGCAGTCTGTGGTCTTTTTCCAGTTTGGGAAGGTTTTAAAGTATCTTTGTAACTCCAGGAAGAAGATTAAACTCCCCTACTGATTGTGCTGGAAGAGTGGCCTCAATAATTGAAACAAACACACATTTTATTGATAAATGTTTAAGGTTTCATCTCCGATCTGGGAAGGAAATAAATAACTTGTCTATGTTGCAACATCTGAGCATTGTTTTCTCTCTTCCCTCTGGACTGTGTCACATGACAGCCAACAGAATTCACCCTTAGGAATCTGAGAGCTTATTCTTAGCAATTTGAGAACATATTCTGCTGAGATATTTATGTGATTGTCACTGTAGAAATTACACTAATCAAAAACATCCTCACTAATCTGAGAAAAATTCAACAAAAACTCAACTGCTCATTGACCCAGAGCTTCACCTCCAACAGAAGAAAACTCCCAATGTGAAATACAAACACCTTTTGGCAGTCTGGGATCAGTTTTCTTGGAGATTCTGGGCGATGGTTTTGGCACTGGCAGTGGGATCCCTTCAGAGGAAGTTTCAGCTTGATTCCCAAACTGCTGCTGCCTCAACCTACTGTCAACTTCCAGCCTCTCCCGGGCAGTCCTGCAGCTCTGCTCCCTGGTGGTCAGGTACAACTCACAAAACTGCAAGGAAAGAAAGGGAATCTGGTAAGTGAAACATTCTTTCTCATGGTTTTAAGGAGTAAAATTAACATCAATAAGGAAAGGACAGGTCAGTAGATGTGATGCATTTCAAGCACAATTTGAATTTTCCTGAATCAGAACAACCCCTCAAGTAACACAGTAAAGGGGAGCCACACAACAAGGAGGGCCAAATATTGAATAAAAATTAAGTTTGACTTTCAACCCAACAGATGATCTATATTTCTTTCTAGAAATTTGAAGACAGAATCCTTTGTTAAAAATCATATTAGTTTTCCTCCTATGAAACTATACTTATGTACAAATCTTTGTGAGCTGTTTATCCAGTTCACAATTTAGCCACAGGCAATTTGGGATCCTGGGTAAGATCATCACTAGACACATGGAGGTGGTAACATTGTGCTTGATGGAGTCAATAACACCAAGTCAGTACCACAAACCCAAGTATCTCTGTTTGCCATACCTTGCTGTAATCAAGTTTGCCACTGCAGTTAAAATCAGCCTGTTTAGTAATTGCATTCACTTCATCCCAAGTCATTTTATCACCTCTCTGCAATAAAAAAATCAAACCAATCATTCTTATACTGTAGCAAAGTTTTACCATCTCATTTCCAAAATCTCTACTAATGGTTAAAGATGGATAATTGAGTTTCCACTGCTACTTACTGTTGTAAGGATTTTATAGAGTTCATCATGTAAAATATATCCAGTTTTATCTGTGTCTATTTTTCCAAATGCTTCGAGCAGCTCAGTTTTTGTAACTGGCTTTTCTTGTTTTAAAATAGCACAAAAATCATCAAAATTCAGTGCAGTTGTCTGTGAAGTCCAATATTTATTAAGGGTCTTCTGAGATGGATTTCTTCCAGCCTGTTGAAGTACTGAACAATATAACACAATATTAGCTATATATTCCAGCTGTCAGTAAAGGAGTTTTCTCAAAACATTCTTGAATCGTTTTCCATGTTCAGACTTTTTTTTTTAAGCCAAATCACTCCAAGGGAAAAGTGGGTCTAAAGGACAGTCTGGGGTATAGTCTCAATCAAAATATCCACAAATTCAAAGACAAGTCTTCCCAAGTGACAAGTGTAAAATTCAGTCTATATCCTGTGCCTTAATATCAATAGCACATTATTTCTAAACCTGCACATTATCAGATCCTGTTTCTACTAAAATCTCTGTCTTTCCACTTAGTTTGCCAAAAACTGAGATCTAGTGTAGAATTCATGTTAAACAATATTTTATGTCACATCTACACAATCGAGCTTATCAATTCAAATTGCACAACATGAAAGGCAAAATGATCCCAATGATACACATTAAAGCCAACAGCCAATCCCACACATGCAACCAGGGCCTTGGATCTCACACCTGGCATTCTTCAGCATTAATTTCCTGGATCTAGTTTGCCTCTTCCAAGTCTTCACTGCAAACATCCTTTCATCAGTTCTCAGTGTGATGAAGGTGTGATGTTAAATTGAAATTAAACTCAAATGAACAGTCTGTGTGAATCCAGAGGGATGCCTCTATATCTTGCCATATAATCAAGTCTTTTAGGGAAGCACAAGAGATCCTTCATCTCCACCTGGGCTGACATTTGATTTTGAGCCAGCTGAGCACTGCCCAGGACCATCTGTGAAATGAGGTGGTGGCATCGTTACAATGCTCGGTGGGCAACTGTGTCACCATCAAAACAAACAAACAAACCCAGACACCTTTGTTGCTAATCTGCAGCTGAATGCCAAGGACTAAATAAAGATTTCTGCCCTGTCACCTCTGCAGGCAGTGCCAGGAGGACACAGCACAGTTTATATCTTCACCTGTGCCACGCTTGGGCACAAAGCAATTGTTTGGAGACTGCAGTGTCAAGGTCAGCCAAGGAAGGGCAGTTACTCTGTGTGGCTGTTGCTGTGGATAGCAGAGTTCCCTGGAATGTCAGCACAGCACAGTATTTACTTACATTTAACAGATTATCCTTCTAATGTACAACTCTGTGTTTTCATATATCCAGGGAGATCAGCACTTGCCATACCCTACCTGCCTCCCAAGTCTGCATTTGTGAAAATTCAATTAGCCTGCACCTTTTATTTATATTTCTTTATGGACTGATTCTGCTAAATAACTTCAGTATTATTACAATGCACAGGAAATGAAGCTACTATCTGTGAATAAGCAAAACTCCTAGCAATAAAATGTCACAGGGCCAATCTCTAAGTTGAATACTTTACAGTTTAGAATGTCAGCCAAACATCATGTAGCAAGAGATGTCTAAACATTAGCACATTTCAGAAATGCCAGAATTAAGATGCAATATAATTCTATAATTCTCAATGCTTACAAATTCTAACACAAGTTCTTAAATATTTCTGAAAAGACTGGGAGCCTGAGCAACTAACTGCCCTCTCAAAGTTAACCTTGAAACCAAAATGCCCAAACACTTGCTATGGAGCCAAGTGGCACGTGGATAGAGATGAAAGCCAAAGCATATATTAAAGAGATGACACTTGTTCACACCACCCCTATCTTAAAATCCAGATTATCCTAAACTATCATTAGGATGTTATAAAGGTACTTTTATTACAGCTGAGGAAGCCTGGAGAGCACTAAGTCACATGCTGTAAGAATGTGCCTGCTGATGGGTAGGATTTCATGTACTGCTCTAGGGAAAGAAGCTCCAACCAGTGTAACACAGAAGAACAGTCAGATTCTACCAACAGCTTTATTTAGTGCAGCTGAAGCAGCCAGAGAGATTTCTTTCCTGTTGTACTGCTGACAGGAACTACTTTGACACAAATACAGTCTGGATTAAAAAATGAAAACTTCTTATTTCATTCTATGGAAGCATCCTAACTCAGTAGGAGTGGAAATACAGAGTAAGAATTCCTATGGAATACCAGTTATGGTGATTTTTTGTGCCAGGGCAATTGCCCAACCTAAACTGAACTGAGAGCACTCACACTGGTGATTTACAGAGAAAAAGCTCTGTCTGATATTCCCACTTCCAGGAGTCATCCAACACCCAGCAACAAAGATTAAGGATTTGAGGAAAATGAAAGACTTTGAGGAACGGCACTTCCTATAAACTTTGAAAAATCACTATGGGATATTTTATAATAGGAAAATGTCTTCAAAGATATTAAAATCTGAACCTTATCCAAAACTACTGTGAATTCCTTAAAACTATTACTGAGCCTGTGCACTGGGATACTCTCAGTGCTGAACTGCTTGTACACCACCCACTGCCCCCATCCCACACCACAGGTACAGGGAAAAGGATCAAATCATTACCTAGGCTGAGCTGTTCTCTGCATTTGATATTTTCCAAGCTGCTTTTCAGAACAGTCAGATAAGCTGCTCTGCAGTTCATGTAGAAGTTTGCTTCTTCTGTATGCTGGGACTTCTTCCCTTGGGAATATTCCACCTGTGTGGCTTTCTGAACGGAGAGGGAAGTGTTATTCCTGGGACTGCTGGCCATCCTGGGAAGGGTACAACTACAGTTAGAGTTTGTCACCATTTCCCTGCTTAATAATTGCTCTGTTTGTCCTGTGAAACACAGACTGGCATCAGTGATCCTAACATTTAGGTGATATCCTTCCCATTGCCTAAATCTGGGATGGGAATAACTGTCTACACTTGTAGGTAGCACCATGAGATCCACAAAAAAAAAAAACTTGAGCTCTACTTATTACTCACAATTTATTCTTCATTGGCAGTAAAGTTTAATTTTATGGTATTTTATTTTAATTTCAGACATTTGACACTACAATTATTATATAATATATATTATATAATACAGATATTATATAATCACGTTTTTTGAAAGCATAAAAACACCTTTTATCTGTGAAACAAGCCATTGCTGTCCATGCTTTCTCTTTTTTGCAGTTGTAACTCAATAAAACGTATAGATAAAAGCAAAACTGTTCAAAACCATCACCCTTAGTCTTTCAAATATGCCAAGTCAAGCACACAGTTCTACTTCTAAGAGTTATCTAAATACAAATAATAAAAACAGATGTGCATAAAACTTTAAGAATATGCATAAAAATTTGAGCAACTTAGACTATATAATTGTTAATGAATTGAAAAAAAACATGAAACTCACTTTTTTCCTCAATTATTCAAACAGTTCCAAGCAGTAACTGATGCTGTTTGCTCACCAATGGCCAGTAAATGGTAACAGCAGCTTTCTGCTTTTTCCAAGGGTGATTAAGGTTTTTAGAAGGCCACCACAGAGGGCCACTAAATCCTGGTTTGCTGTTGCTCTAACAGCCTCTCGTATTATTTTACCCAATGTTGACTTCAGAAAATATATTCCAGTATAACAAATGGAATATCTCAAGTTCAGCAACAAGACAACGACATCAGAGGGTCCCCTTCAGGACTCATTGGATTTTGACTCAGGAGGCCTAAATCACTTGCACCTTGGTGAGTTATACAGGTCTTTTACACTTGGGAAAGGAAGATAATAATCTCTTCTCATGGATGAAGTACCCTATTTGTAATACCCAGCCTGCCTGCCTGACACTTTAATATTACACAGGCACTAGAAAGACCCCACAGGGACCCCCTGCCACAGTCTGGCTCCTGCAAACGGGTATCACTATAATAAAGCACCAGTGTTACACACACAAAATGGAACTGGGGGGAAAGTCAAGGAGGAAAAGAAGAATAAATGTTAATTTTCCAGTAACTAGTTTGTAAAATGTGAACTCTCGTTTGTGGTCCTTGGACTTCCCATTGCTGAGATATTTCCTGTGTGGGCCACAGTTCTGCCAAGAAATGCTACCAGTCCATTGAGGGAAATCCAGGGAGCAATGGCTCAGTGACAGCACTGCCAGCAGCCCCATGGCTTGGGCTGGGACATTTTTACTGGATAAATGACACTTTAGACAAAATAGGTGGTGGGGAGCTTTCTGGGCTGGGCTTTTAAACTGGGAGAGAGTAAGTTTAGACGGGATATTGGGATGAAATTGTTCCCTGTGAGGGTGTAGAGACCCTGGCACAGGTTTCCCAGAGAAGCTGTGGCTGTCCCATTCCTGGAAGTGTCCAGGCCAGGCTGGATGGGGCTTGGAGCAATCTGATATAGTGGAAGGTGTCCCTGCCCATGGCAGGAGGTGGAACGGGATGGGTTTTAAGGTCCCTCCCAACCCAAACCAGTCTGTGATTCTATAGAGCATGAAGATGACACAAGAACTACTACCTTTGATTTTTTTGTCGTATGATTCTAAGAGATAAAAAACAACTTCTAAACAGGAATTTAGTCACAGAATCCCAGAATCACTGAGATTAGAAAAGCTCTCCCAGCCCATCGAGTTCAGCCTGTACCCAATGCCCACCTTGTCACCCAGCCCAGAGCACTGAGTGCCACTCCAGTCGTTCCTTGGACACCTCCAGGGATGGGGACTCCACCACCTCCCGGGGTAGCCCCTTCCAATGCCTGACCACCCTTTATGTGAAGAAATTATTCCAAATATACAAAGTCAGACCCCTCACGACAACACTGACCTTCAGGACCGAGGCTCATCCACAGAGCACGCACACCTGCACAGGGAAGCTTCGCCCTGCTCCGGCCTCGCCCACCTGAAACGAGGAAACTTTTACCTCATGGATCTCGTCACCTCCCTCACCTCCCTTTCAAGGACTAAATTTACACCCCACCGTAGAAAACATTACAATCCCCTTCCCCCAGCGCATCTGAGGGGAACCAAGAACCCTCCCTCCCTCCGCCCCACCCCCAAGCGGCCTCTGAGGGGACCCTTGAGGTGCCTTTGGCCGCCCCGAACCTCCCGCCCGAAGCTCCCCGGCCCGGCTCGTACCGCGCACAGCGGGGCCCGACGAGCCCAACTCGGCCCCGGTCTGGGCCCCGCAGCCCCGAGGGGCTCCCCCGCCCTGCTCCGGCCCGGCCCGGCCCGCCCTCGGCGCCGTTTCCAGCCGGCGGCGTTTGGCGGGAGCACGGCGGGAGCTGCGAGGAGGCGGTGGGGGAGGCGGTGGGAGCGGCGGCGGGATGTCGTGGGTATCGAGGGGCGAGCGGAGCCTTTCTGCTCCCCTTTCCGCTCCGCTTTCCTCCCTTTTCCCTCTGCTCCCTTTTCCTCCCCTCTTCCTCTTCTTCCTTCTTCCCTCTCCCCTTTCCCTCCGCTCCCCTCCCCTCACGGCGGCGGGGCGGCCCCCGAGGGCGGGAAGCGGTGAGGGGAGCGCGGCTCCCGCCGAGCGGGAGCTCCCGAGCCCCTTCCCTGAGGGAAAGAGTGCGCCGAGGGTCGTCCGGGAGAGGGGAGGAGCGGCGGGGAGAGGGCGGGATTTGTTTCCAGAGGGAAACAAGGACCAGGGAATGCTTTCGATGGCGGTTCCCCTGGCGGCGTTGGGTGGGTGATGTTGCTGTGGGTGATGCTCTCTGTGTTCTGTGTTTCCGAAAGGGGGTCGGGGTGACTCCTTTCAGTGGTGCCCAGCGACAGGACAATGAGCAATGGTCTTAGACGAAAACACAGAGAGTTTCACCGCAACACGAGGAAGAACAACTTCACACTGAGGGTGGCAGAGCACAGGAACAGCTGCCCGGGCAGGGCATTGGAATCTCCCTCTCTGGAGACATTCCAAACCCACCTGGACTCGTTCCTGTGTCACCTGCTCCAGTTCTGGAATATCCCCAGTGAGGGAGACTCCACACCTTCTCTGGGCAATCCCAGTGCTCGGTCGCTGCACAAGAAAGAGTTTCTTCCACATGTTCACGTGGAATTTCCTGGGCATCAATTTCTGCCCATTGCCTCTTGTCCCATTGCTGGGCACCCCCGAACAGAGCCTGGTCCATCCTCTGACCCCTCCCTTGAAGGCATTGGCAGAAAGTAGGTTTTAATATGGATTTATGAAAGTGTGACTTTAACAGAGTTCAGTGGCAAGGTTCAGTCTATTAATACATAGATGAAACATCCACAAGAAAATAGGATCAGAATCCCTTTAGGATGATTTACATGGAGACAGGATGCAGAAGGGTCAGGTGTGCAAAGGATTTGGATACAAAAGATATGGGTGCAAAAGGTGTTACCAACTTCAACAGCAGGAAGGTGAGGCCATAAGATCCGTGATGCCTCTATATAGGCTTGGGATATTATCCCAGTTTATAACTCCTTATGGATTTCAAAGGTAAATGTTAGAGCAGTTAGGTTCCAACCTCTGCCAGTCCTGACCATGGAATTTGTAGTGGTCATGGCAGGATACAAAGGAAACTTAACAATACACAAATTTTGATTTTTTTTGTTTGTTTGTTTATTGAAGTCAGCTTCTCTCACACTGAGTTTCACCACCATTTAAGCTGAACACAGGAAATTATAGGATTGTTTTCTGGTTTTCCAATTGAAAAGACATTTTCACTGGCACATTTGAAGATGGAGCAATATGTAAATAGCAGAGAGGTGCTTTGTTTTTTTCTCCAGTAAAAGTAGAACCTAAAGAGGAAGCAAACTGAAGTGGCCTCAAAATGTGCTACAATAACCTCTAGGGCATTTTTAATGAAATAATATGATCAAATCCCTGATTCTCTATGGGTTTTTTGTACATTAACCTTGGACATGGCTGTTGCTGTTGCATTCATTCCTAAATTATAAAGGAGAGGAAGTGAAGTTCTTTAACCTGATAAATATTATGGGCAAAATAACTATTTCAGGTTGGACAGCTGGCTGGAAACATGTGCTAGCATACTCTGCATGGTCAAGAAAAGAAATTAAGTCTAGTCAGGCTACAATTCAAGGGTAGAAAACTCAGACTGAGTTGTTAAATACTGTCACCTCATGTACCTCATCCTTCCGTCTCCTTTTCTTGTTCACAGTCTGACATTTGGTTCTACACTGGAGCCAAAGTGAGGCTTTTCCAGCCATATAAAAAAGATAACCCAAACTAGAACTGCTGCTCTTCGTGTTGTTCCCTAAAATACTTCAGGAATTTTGTTTGCATGTATTGATTTCTCACCTTTGGGAAGATCAGAGGGAAGACAGTTTGGCCAACAGGGTTCTTGTGTTGGGTGTGGGGATGAATTTTGTTTCGGAGTCCAAGGCAGGGAGCACAATTTTTAAATGATTTTGATGTAGCTTCTCACATTATGGCATTGAAAAGACAAACATTAAAAACACAGCCACAAGCAAACGAGGCTGCTGTGCAGGCTGGACTGGGAAACACAAGGAAAGGTTGTGTAAAGCTAAAATTGTGTGTTAAAATGTAATATTCCAGCCCTTTCCAATGTTTAAGTGCTTAGAATGAGGCTCCAGCTTTGCCCCCATAATCTGGGGAGTTTGCAGGGGTTTTGGAGGCCAGCAGAGAGAAATTTGGGCTTCTCTGTTCCTGTCCACAATATTTGACAGACTCCAAAGAACATACCATTGATCAGTCCACAACTTTCCCCCTAAGAAATTTTTCTCAATGTTTATAACTTAATGGGATTTTCATTTAGTTTCTCATTTCTCTTCATCCTGCAGCTGTGCTGAGTCCAGATCCTGCTTTTTACTTTGCCTTTCAGTCATAAAATCTTCCATCATCACATGCCTTGGTACAACATGCAAATGCACTGGCCCCCAGAGCATCCTCTCTATTAATAAATAGGATATTTCCCTGCTGCCATGGGCTGGAAGGTGGAATGGAGTCAGGATTCCTTCAATATGGGTTTCTCTTTAAAAAAGAAATACATTGTAAAGAATTCCATCAAACTGTTACAGCTTTCACTGCCCCTTGGCCAGAATTTCATAGGCTTTTTTAATTTTAATGTTACCTGTTCCTTTGGCATTTTTAAGACAGAACGTTCTCTTCCCCTTTTTGAAATGGAGATGGTTGTAAAACAGTTTTCATATAAGACCCTTACCTGAGTTACATATCAAAGATGTGCTTCCATTCCTGTTGTCTTTAATTTACAGCAGCATAAATTTAAAAAGGGTATGTTTGGAATTAGGTCATCTTAATTCCTTACAAGGCAAAACGTTCTTTTCCAAGATGAAAACTGAACCAAGTTCTTGAAATATGATGTGTATTGCAAATCCTGTTTAATTCAATATAATATATACATTTCTTGGGGACTGTTCTTACACAGATTTTTTTGTTCCTTGTTGTTTTTTATCGTGGTTTAGACCAAGATTTAGGAACGTGCTTAAAAACTTTCAGTTGTCTGTGGGAAAAATAGTCTTAATTTATGTTGACCTTTCTTTCCTTGGAGCATTTAGCCTGCATTCAATAAAATTTTGATGACTGCTCTTTAGCAGACAGCTGTACCATATAAAGTATTATAAATATTCAGCTTTCCCCTTCCAGTGTTGCCATTAACAGCTGGGCATCCAGTTCAGCAGAGCAGATTTTGCAGAGAGAGCTTGGCATGTTCCTGAATCAGGAGAAGGAAGAAGGGAAGCAAATAGTTTCTTATGGTTTGGGGACCTGTAAAGACATAGAGCATCTGTTCCCCTGTTAAGTCATAGTCTGGCAGCACTGAATCATGTTAAGAGCTAAAATGATGGGAAAAACTACTTTTTTCTCCTTGGCTTTACCTGTGCTTTAAATGGCTTTATGCATTATTTCAACTAATGGCAAAATCCTTTCAACCCTTGCTCACAAGGTATGTAAAAGAAAAGGCTTTTGTGGGGTTTTTGGTGTTTATATCTTGGGGGAAAAGCAAATATTCAGTGTGATTTCGCTTCAGTGTCTTGATTTTTATCTCTGTTATAAAATGGAGAATCAGGTTTTCTTATGCAAACACTTTATCCTTCTAAACAAACAATGTTCTCGGTACACAGTATTTTAATCAGTTAATAGATTTGCTTTGGATGACATTTGTTTTCTTGTGTAAATGTGAAACACAACAAAGGAAACTGTTTTTAAAAATATCAATTATAGGTGTTTCTAAAAGAAATCTTTGTGTCTAGATACTGTAAAACTTGTCCATATTTTTCTCTTGCAGAGTTAAGAGAGCATTGAAGTTGGACACTGTCAAAAAAGATAATGTAAGTATTTTTTGGTGTATGGAACCATCTGTTTATATGTATAGATATATATATATCTATTTATATTTATATGTGTGTTTCTATAGATGTATATATATATATGTGTATGTATCTGTGTGCAAAAATTATGTGTGTATGAATGTGCTATTTCATTAGAGCTGCATTTATATTGTTACAGATTGGCTGTTGTCTGGGAGAATCCTAAGGCACAAAATTACTGCTGACAAATATTATAGTATAAAATTGATAGTATTTCATTTGTCACAGAACTGCCTGGTGTTAAGTAATGTACATCTGCATGAATCACTTGAAGAATATGCACATTGTTATTGCCATCACTATTTACCCAAGAGCTGAATGAGTTAAGATCCTTGGTGAAATAATTTATTAAAAATTAGCTCCATTATCCTGGGGAGCAAATGCTCTGCCCTGTAATTGTACATGGAACAATATGGAATTATGGCAATGCTGGAATCTGCATATTACAAACTGCAAAATTGAAATGAAAACATTAAAGGCATTTTCATGTCAGAGCTGTAATTACCTCCCTCAGCTAATCTGGCAGAATGAAACAATAAAGTACAAACACTGCCATAAATTTCACCACAGTTATCACAATGAAAATAAAATTGTACTGGTGCTATTATTTTTTGTAAATGCAGCTCCAGCATCCTCCCAGTCCCAGCATGGTGGGACATATGTCGGTTTATTATCTCTCCTACCACGGTGGGTGTTGCTGGAGAGGATTTTGGGAGGATGGCAGGCTTTAAAGGAAGGAAAATTTGGGAGAAGTACAGGGAGAAATAACCGATCAGCAAACCAGCTCCCAGGAAATCTCCATCTCTGTGTCATTGTGAAGAGATTTGCTCCTATGCAGCACATCTTTGGAGGCCTCACTGGTGTTTAGCAAGGTAGAAATTCACAATTTTAAAAATTTTTCTA